CCGTTCCTAACATGGAAGCAGACGCCTTTGCTGCCGACTCTAACATGAGTACAGACAAAGCTCCTCCGTATCCCTGGAGTGGGACCCTTGCTGAGGTCCATCAACCGGGCCAGTTGAAGTCAGGATTTTTAAAGAGGTCTACTCCTCTTCTAAAAATGCTGCTGTTGGTCCGCGACTGCTTATTTGTCAGAGTTATTCTGCTTGTTTCGCAGCTGGCCTTCATATCTGAAGGTCGTTCCCCTATCCGCCACCTGGGGACGCGCCCTATAGCAGTCAGCTCTGCTATTAGTAAAAATGGTCAGTAAAGAAAACTGTCCTAGGTAGAGAGGTGTCTTCTAGCAGGAATGTCCTCTCATGGAATATGTTCTACTGTACTCAATCAACAGTAGTCTCAATTTACAACTTTTTCATTCAAAAAATATGTGTGACTAAGATTCTTTTTAATCAGTGTTGGGCAAAAAATGATTATATTTTCTATATGTACAGTCGCAAAAATTCATGATTACATTTTCTATAATTATAATTACAAGGTACAATTTGTATTATAGATAAGAAACATAATGTAACGAGACCAAATCCATATGAATAAATTCAAAATTAATTTGGATTTGGTCATATTCCATATTGAACTCTTCTAATCTAAAATACAAACTATACCTTAGGTTAATTACAATTACTTGTAATTATAGAAAAAGTAACCATGATAATTTAGTGATTGTAATTATAGAAAGTGCTGGCTATATTCATAACTGGGATTTCTCTCTTTTTCAGAGAGTTCTAATTAGCAAGAGATTGTTGAATGTATCCTAATGTTGGCTATTTTACTTTATTGCTAGAGATAATAATTTTTAATAAAAAGATGTCACCAACAATAGTTACCCATTACCAAAGTGTGCCTGGATCATTGTGCCATGATCAACGAAATCTGAGCCCCTATACCCCATTCCACAACTTGAGGAGCATGGACTCATGGAATTCATGTAACTTTTGCACAAGGGGATAAGAAACAAGAACCTTCATCTTTCTTATCTCTACTCAATCATATTAGGTTATCAAGGTTGTAGAAGGTTGAAACAGCAGTTACCCAGCTCAAGCTTTTATTTAAATGCACTAAAAGGGACAAAATAAAATATTGTATCTTCTGTCATTGAGCAATTAGAGATGTATTTGAGTGAAAATAAAAGTGGCAGGGGACTATCATCATGAATTTCGAACTTAATATGATTTAATATGTAGCAACTGATTAGCGATTTTTATAAGTGTTTGCTATATTTTTACCTCTTCTCTAAATATGATCGTCCCCCGCCGCTTTTATTTTCACTCAGATACATCTAATTGCTCAATGATAGAAGATACAATATTTTTTTTCTTTTTAGTGCATTTAAATAAAAGGTTTTTTTTTTAAATGTATTTTTATTTAGTTAGTTTTAGTCATGAATATGAAAAACTTATAATCAAAAGGTCACTGGAGATTAGTTCTTAAATAGAACCTGTGGCAGATTGGTCAATTCCTTGTAATTCCTGGCCACTACAACCACCCAGAAGTCTGAAAATTTGTACACTTACACATTGGACTGAGTGAGTGTTAAAAGTTTCATACTTCTATGTGATCTGGAGAAGCATATTAAAATTAAATTTTTATAATTTTAGGGGGTCTGTGGAAGGATGGTCTAAATATTGGTTTTTGACCGCTATGACCCGGGTTCGATTCCCGCATTGGACACTTTTTTTTTCTAATTAAAAATTAAAAAAATGCTCCAATGGTCCCAGATTCTTGCAAAAGTCCAACCCCACCTGCGAGTGCAAGTAACCAAACGGGGCTCTGGCACATTTGTAAGTTCAAAGTCGAACTGCTTTTCACATGTATAGACATGTGGTGCACTTACAGTAAAAGCAGTCGCCTACCTCTACCCACCATGATTATCATGGCCTGTACCACGTGTACTAGGGATAAGCAAAAAAAAAAAAAAGAAATTTTGAAAGGCAATTTGTCAACTTGCCAGGTTCTAATAAGTGTGCAAAATTTGAGATTTCTATGCGCTCTACAAGTATACCAAAATCGAACCATTTTTGGACAGACAGACATGAAGGTAAGTTAAAAAAAAAAAAAAAGGAATTATGAAAATTAGTCCATTCCCAACTATATTTTTATGGGATGTTAGCTGCTCCTTATACTACAGAATAATCGCCTATTTTCTTCATTTGAAAGGAAATATACAAATTCTATTCTCTAGTCCAGTGATTCTCAACCAATGTGCCGCGGTAATTTTGTGTGCCGCGAAATTCTAAAAATGTGCCGCCGAATTTTAGTCATATGATTATGTTCACGTTTGTATTGGTTTTTCTTTTTTTCTTTTTCATTTTTTTACTTTTTAAAATAACGAAATTAGCAAATTGAATGTTAGAGATGTATATTACTTATATTTTGCATAGAAATATTGATACATAATTTGAATTTTCTTGCATTCAAGTTAGCAAAAGTGTGCCGCGAAATTCTAAAATTGTGCCGCCAAATTTTCAAATCTTCAAAATAATGCCGCAACAAAAAAAAGGTTGAGAATCACTGCTCTAGTCTAACCCCGACCACCATGAAGTCTGAAATATTGTAAACTTGCAATGTGATTGAACTAGTCTATAAAATACCTGACTTCTACATGGTGTAGATGTATATTGATTCAAAAATATTATCCCAATTCTATGAGCAGGTTTAGAACGACAGCCTTTCTAGACTTTATACATTGACATTATATATCTATCTATCCCTATATATATTAAAGTCAGTGTATGTATGTTTGTCAGTTATACATGTCGATAATACGTAACTAATCTGGCTGAAATTTTAACAGTATATAGAGTTGAATCTGGAAACACTTATAGGAAAATTTTCAGGCTTCTATCTCGAATATCCTTAAAGTTATTAACAAATTTTCCCTATTTCACTCACAACCAGCGCCTCACTGTGGTAACTTTGAGAAGTTGATGGACCATGTGGGACGGACCATCACAAGAATGATGGCCTTGAGTGATGTAGGGATAAGAAATCACTTGCTATCATTTTATGTATATATCAAATTTAAAATATATTCATATAAAAAATCTAAATACAAATTTCAAATATTGTTGTGAAATTTTCATTTTTATATTTTAAAAACACACAAAGTTTGGAGCGGGATGTTTCACAAGAGCGACATCCACAGCGCCAATTTATAATTGTAGCGAATAGTATTTGAATAAAATTATTTATTTCTTTATTTTTTAGTTTTCTTTTTCTTGTAATTCCAAGGAGAGGTTTTAGATAAAAACCTGAATATTTGGATATCTTCCTCCTTTGAATTCTTGAACAACCTCTGAAAGTCTCAACTCCCAACAGTTTCCGAATTGTGAAACACAATATTTAAAAGGAAATATAGAAATTTGTTCATTCCCATCCACCTCAACAAACCAAAAGTCTGAAAATTTATACACTTGTATAATTTGTATTGAACAAGTATTAATTTTTTTCAGGCTTCTATTTATCTGGAACATATTTGAATAAAATTACAAAATTTGAAAGGTAATTTGGAATTTTGTTCATTGCCAGCAACCCAGAAGTCTGAAAATTGTCATTAGGTTTGGAGAAGTGTATAAAATTTCAGAGATCTACATTCACTAAAATTGATTACAAGACTTGTGGACAGACGGAAGCAAGTTAAAAGCTTAAGCAGTTTAATTCCAATCAACAAGAACCATTAAATCCACATGAGTGGACAGTCTAGCCTGAATCAAAGTGCTATAACAATAACACATTATTTTTGTAATTCCCAAATGTTGCATAAATAGTTGTTTGTAATATCTATATATATAAAAATGAATGTTTGTATGTCCGGTATACAAATTCGCAGTAGTTCACTAATTCAAACCAAAATTTCCATACATAGGTAAAAAAATACGGGGAAGATGATAGGCTATTTAAAAAATATATATAAATCAATTATTAAAACTATATATTCAAATTATTCTACTTAGCTCACGAACAGCGCCCTCTATCAAAGATTAGACTAAATTATGCTGATGCAAACAAATAAATAATGCTAATAACAAACAATTATAAAAAAAAATCTTATCTAAATATATAAAGAATATGGGGGTCGGTGGAAGGATGGTCTTTACCATTTTTTACCAATGTTCACTAGCATGAAATACAATTTTAATAGCTTTTGTTGTTGTTTATACAAAACAAACTTTGCTTGGGGCCAATTTTATTCTCCAATTGGAGAATGTTCTAGATGAGGAATGCAAGTATTTATTACCACCCAGTAATACTTCTGGGTCCGACAATGAGATTATATTAAAGGCTGGATATAACAACAAGAAGTGATTTATTTGTGATGGATGAACATAGTGATAAAGTTTCTTATTTACACCCAACTGTAAATGTCTAGTCGCTCTCCTCCTCCTCCGCAGCCTTGGTCTTCTGCCTGCGCTTCTTGCTCCTCTTGTTAGCGGACTTGGCGTACATCACCAGAGCTAGCTTGTCCTTGATCTTGAGACCAACGGCAGACTTGAGAGCCTGGGCAGCGGACTCGGGGTTGGAGAAGGTCAGGTGGCAATTCAGGTTGTCTCCATTCTTGTGGATGTCTACCACGGTGGCGAAGGGGAACTTGGCCTTGATGTCCTGTTGGGTGGTGGCGGGGCTCAGGTTGGTGATGTACAGCCTCTTGAGGTTGACGTTGCTGGGCTTCTGCTGCCTCTCCTTGTAGTAGGCACTCTTCTCACCACAGTAATCCACGTTCACTGGAGCATTGTTCAACTTCTTGCTCTGCAGGAGAGTGTAGTTCTTCTCTGCAGCAGCCTCACTGGCAAACTCCAAAAAGGCAAATCTGGAAGGGACACCCCAGGTTGTAATTAAGCATTTAAACACAGGGAAAACTAAACAAAAACAAGTTAGGTTGCAAGATTGTAAGACAGAGGTTCCACCTGAAATCTATGGTGAGACTTCACGCAGTTTGCTGCCTAAGCAATTATTACTTTAGCACTGGTCTTGACATGAGGTCCATTTGGGGAAGCCTCAGGTTCAAAGCAGTGCAAATAAATAAAGTTGAAAATGAGGCTTTTGGGATTTTCAAGGAGCATTCACATCCTTGTATAATAGTAACATCCCAAGAATGCTATCTTCCATTTTAGATTGTGTTCGCACATAGCACAAAAGAACTATACTCACTTGATCTTGGAGTGCCTATTCTTGGTGTTGTTGGGGAAGCGCACACTCAAGATGTCCTTAGAGAGGGACTTGACCTCATCCTCTGTGACTGAGTTGGGGATGCGGCGCATGAAGAGGCTCTTCTTGTGGATCTCGGAAAGGGCGATGTCAGCGGGGGCCTCTGCCACTGAAGCCACACACAGTTAGCTTACAGGATAACAGTGCTGACAAAAGTTTTACCTTTTTGTTTCTTGACTACCTTGCCTTCCAGGTTCTCTTCCCATTTGCGCTTCTGGGATGCCTTCTCACTCTGCTTGTCCTGCTTGGCCACCACCTTGGCTTCAGCTTTCTTGGCAAGCTTGGGCTTCTGCTCTTCCTCCTCCTCACTTTCTTCCTCTTCATCACCGTCATCATCACTTTCCTCATCCTCCTCATCACTTTCCTCGTCCTCTTCATCATCATCTTCCTCATCATCATCTTCCTCATCCTCATCATCATGAGACTTCTCGACCCTGGCCCTTGCCTTCTGAACAGCCTTATCCATTGCCTGATCATTCATTTCATCTTCAGAATCATCCTCCTCATCTTCAAGCTCATCCATGTCAATGTCATCCATGTCATCATCCAGATCACTGAATTCCTCATCAGAGATCTCCTCTTCCTCCTCAACTTCCTCTTCTTCTACGGGCTTCTTGGGAGGAAGCTGCTTCTTGCCCTTCTGAGCGGATGCTCCTGGCTTCTGTTGCTGGGGTTTGGCCTGCTGCTGCTTGGCCGGCTGGGGCTTCTTGGCTGCTGGAGAACCAAGTTTCACATTAGACAAAGAAAACGCTCAACGTGAACAAGCTAAACAAGATGGCTATATTTAAGTACCCAAGAAGAACAATCCAATAAATCATACCTGATTTCGGGATGATTGGAGATAGAGATGCTTTCTTGGGAGTTTGCTTTTTTTGAGCTAATTTTGGAGTTGCCAAAGAAGCTTTGGGTTTAATTTGAGAGGCATTTTTATTTGCAGAGAGCTGGTTCTTTTTTTGTAGCTCATCCTTGATTGCAGCAGCCATTTTCTGAGACTGTTTTGGAGTTAAAGATTTTTTACCTTGAACAGGGGTGTTTTTGTTAGGGGTGGGCTTGGAAATTTTACCATTCTTTGCCACGGCTCCTCCAGGGGTTTTGGGACCCTGCTACACAACCACGTATACAGTTGAGGCCAATTTTTACAATAGAGTGACAGTTAACTTTCATCGAGAGGGAACATATACAGTTAGTAAACTTGATACAGATTTTAAAGAGATTTTATAGAAATAGTTGATTCTGGTTTGAGATATAGCAAGCCAACGAGGAAAAAAAAATGCTGTACTCTTTTGAGTTGTGTGTGTTAAACTTTAAAAACACTAATTCAACATTAACAATAGATTTTTAAATTTTAACATTCTAACTACAATCTACTTTAATTCAACAGACATAATTGCTAAGGAATCACAGGGTTTTGATTTTAAATCAAATGAACACATGAAATTTAATGCTTACACAAATATGTTTAATATCACCAGGATCAACTAGATGCTATGATGATTAAAGGTTCACCAATGATTGGCCAGGAAGCTCTCACTCCCCATTTTTGTTCGCTGCACTACAGGGATCTAATCCAAATATTTAAAGGACTATGGTTTCCCTAATGTTTTACTAACAGCATTATAGCATGGGTAAAACTTTTCATTAAAGATAATGCCTTCTGGAGGTGTGTGTGTCTTTATCAGGTCAATTTTCCAAAGGTGGGTCATACAGGTGCCTCATGTTTTACTATACCAAGGCTTGAATAAATGAGCTGGCCAAATTCTGATATGCAAATCTAAAAATAAAGTCTGCTGGTACTTGAGCATGCTACCAAGTTTTCAACATTTAGCTTACTTTTTTAGGGAGGTAATTGATCTAAAAGAGACAAGGGTCGCCTCTCCCGTCAAAATAGACATCTATAGATGGCATCTGGTTTTATACGTCTAGTTTGATGGGAGAGGCGACCCCCTTGTCTCTTTATAGTTAAAAATATGTCTTGAAATATTTTCTATGCTATACTCAAAACTGAATTGCCCAAGCAATTATTAAAAATTATAGTCCACCCATATACAAGAGACACAATTAAGACACTCGAAACAAACTGTGGAAACTTTCACGAGAATATTTGCTATATGTTGTTAAGGCACTATCTATCAAAATTATAGTTTTTGGCCTGCTGATATTTTTATTTTCCTATTTGATAAAAAATATATTTTATTAATTGATAAGCCAAAATTTGGATTATAGATTATAAACACAAGGTAATATGACCAAATCCAAAAAAATAAATAGTGTGGGACGTTTCGGTAACAGCATTGTTACCATCTTCAGACAAAAGTAATGAATGAGAAATTTTACCACAGCATGTTTTCAAATAGTTCCTGTTATCAGATAAATATCTTCTTGTCTGTTATCTTGTTTACACACTTGATAACAGGAACTATTTAAAAACATGCTTTGGTAAAATTTCTCATTCAGTACTTTTGTCTGAAGATGGTAACAACGCTGTTACCGAAACGTCACACACTATTTATTTGGTCTTATTACCTTGTGTTTTTATATATTTTATTAAGTTTTATATTTTGATCAATAACAATTATAAGGCTAAACTTATGAAATTACAGGTCAGTATAGAGCTCCCTTTTTTTTTCCAATTAGCAGAGCTCAAAATTGGATTTGAGAGGAGGGGTATGGTATACTTCAAAAAACACATTGCATCCTGCAATGATCTAAATATAATCTTTTAAAAAAACTTTAGATAAAAAAAAAAGGATGTGAATGGACTACTTATTGAATGTATTAAAATTATTGGAAATCAACTACTAGAGGTGATATGTTGGGTCTGAATGGTTGGTTGCTGTTTGTAATGTGGTCATTTTTGTTCAACAACAACAAAATGCTTTAAAAAAAAAACTTAGAAATATCAACTAAACAGTTATTTTTTTTATATTTATTTATATATTTGGAGCTCTAGACTTTAATAATAAATGGAAAAATGAGTTTATAAAATGTTTCAACTTTACGAATTTTTTTTTTTTGCCAAACACACTTTGGATCAACATCTAACAAAAATTCGGATACGGGTGACAAAAATATTTCTACTATATCGAAGGATTTATTAACCGATATTTAAATAGAAAGCCATTAATAGGTTTTACAAGTTACGACGACATTACCTTTATATTACCTTTACAAATAACCCACATGGCTGAAATAATTTTAGTTCTAAACGTATAAGGTGTCTTGCATAAATTGGTATTTGTAAACAACAAGAAATACTGAATACGAATTTAGTATTGAAAATGCACGTGGTTTTCAAAATTTAGATTTCTCATCTAAAAACACAAAATTAGTAACAAAGTACTTACCTTATTATTTTTGATTGCCATTTAGAGAAAATATATTATATTTGTAAATAAAATTTATCAATTAAGAACAAAAAGGTTAACACAATAAAAGATGTATCGTCAAAGCGTCAAAACGATAAATGTGGTTTAAGTAAATTTATGATGATAGGGCAAAAAAAAATTAAAAAGAATAATATTTTGTTTTTTAATCATAGAATATTTTTATTAAAAATAGAATTTTATTTTTATTAAATTTGTTTGATTTATTTATTTTTTTAAACACACAAATAAATAAAATTTAACCATATATCACAGCAATTTCGGAATATTTCTGAGAAAGAATTTTATATAGGTTTGTTGAGGATGCGTAAGACAAATATAACGTAATTGATTGCAAATAGCTAGCTGGTGGCCTAAATAAATGTAAATGGAATGAAAGGATGTAGGGGGAACAATGTTAATAATAATTTAAAAAGAAGAGCTCACGTATGTGAGAGTGTTGTGGCAGGGGAGGCATGAGTCTCCTGTAACCTAGGCCTAATTCTGACAGTCAACTGACTGCTGTAGCATGCAGCCTGGACTACAAACCAAGGCAACCCTACTACAGGTCAGAACCCCATGGACATCTTCAAGGAGATGGCATGCTACAGGAGCTCACCACTGACCAGGAAGTGTGTGTGAGGGACTACACCAAGCCTGGTGTGGGAGCTGGAAAGTGTGGCTGGAAGAATTGTTTTAAAAAAGGCCTATATAGGCACACCCCCCTACACACCCCATGTGACCTGCTACACTACGATGCCAAGAGTCCCTCAGTGAGATGCCAAGAGCCCCTCAGTGATGGAGGCAGCCTGGAGATGACCAGACAATAGATGAGCCTGTGAACCCCCACCACCACCAACAGCCTCAACCTTCAACTGAGAGGAAGGCCCAGAACCCATCACCCAATAAAGACATCAGGCATGAAATTGTCTTTTGCTCTTTCTTTTTTTTATTAAATATTTATAGTTTAAAAAATTGAACATATTATATATATTCAATATAAAACCTTGATATTATTAATCATTTTTTAAAAGATTTTATTTAACTTGCCTCCATGTCTGTCTATCTGGATGTCTGTCGCCTAATCTTGTAATCAATTTTTAATATACTTATAGGGCACCTAGAAATATGAAATTTGGTACACATGTTCAAACCTGATGACAATGCTAGCTGACCAATTTTCAGACTTCTGGGTTGTCAGGTTGGCTAAGAAAGGACAAATATCCAAATTTCCTTTCAAATTTTGTATATTTAATTTTAATATGCTTCCAGACCATATAGAATAATGAAACTCACAATACTCGCTCAGTCCAATTAACAATGCAAGTGTACTAATTTTCAGACTTCTGGGTAGTCGGGAAGGCGGGAAATGAACCATTATCTATATATATTTTTTAATATTATGTGTTGCATTATATCTACTCTCGGAAAATGCTGGAGGTTGCGAAAGGAATCT